CTGTTACGAAATATGCTTGACAGAAGACGATCGCCATATTGAAATATTTATACATATGTTATACCTAATACTTCGAACTATATTACGAACGGAGAATACGAATTCTAAAATGAAATTCTAGTCCATTATCACAAGAATACATATTTATTATTAATAACAACGTATCCTAAGTCAAGATTCCTTTAACTGAATGAGAATTTAAAGTGTAAATACGTCAATTATTAGAAGATAATGTAAAAATCCAAACACACGTATTACGAACACACAATGCCTGATAATGAACGACAGCCAAATTGAAATATTTATAAATATTTAATATTTATAAAACGTAATATTTTAAACTATACTACGAATGGAGAATACGAATTCTAAAATGAAATGCTAGTCGATTGTCACAAGAAGACATACTTATTATTAATAACAACATAACCTAAAACATGATTCCTCTAACTAAATGAGAATTTAAAGTAGAAATATGTCAATTATTAGAAAATAATATAATGATCGAAATACACGTATTACGAACACACAATGCCTGGCAAAGAACGATAGCCAAATTGAAATATTTATAAATATTTAATACGTAATATTTCGAACTATATTACGAATGGAGAATATGAATTCTAAAATGAAGTGCTAGTCGATTGTTACAAGAAAATATACTTATTATTAATAACAACGTAACCTAAAACAAAATTCTACTAACTGAATTTAACATAGAAATACGTCAATTGTTAGAAAATAATGTAAAAGTCGAGACACACGTATTACGAACACACAATGCCTGATAATGAACGACAGCCAAATTGAAATATTTATAAATATTTAATATTTATAATACATAATATTTTAAACTATACTACGAATGGAGAATACGAATTCTAAAATGAAATGCTAGTCGATTGTCACAAGAAGACATACTTATTATTAGTAACAACGTAACCTAAAACAAGATTCCTCTAACTAAATGAGAATTTAAAGTAGAAATATGTCAATTATTAGAAAATAATATAATGATCGAAATACACGTATTACGAACACACAATGCCTGGCAAAGAACGATAGCCAAATTGAAATATTTATAAATATATAATACGTAATATTTCGAACTATATTACGAATGGAGAATACGAATTCTAAAATGAAATGCTAGTCGATTGTTACAAGAAAATATACTTATTATTAATAACAACGTAACCTAAAACAAAATCCTACTAACTGAATAAGAATTTAACGTAGAAATACGTCAATT